GGAGGGGAGGAGGAAGTTCAGGAGGAGGAACGTCAGGATGGGGAACACCAGGATGGGGAACATCAGGATGAGGAACATCAAGAGAAGACCCCCAGGATGGAGAACGTCAGGATGGAGACCCCCAAGAGGAAGAAGAGGATGAAGAACACCAGGATGAGGAACATCGAGTCGAAGACCCCCAGGATAGAGACCCCCAAGATGAAGAACAGGATGAGGAACACCAGGATGGAGACCACCGGGATGGAGAACGTCAGGATGAAGAACAGGATGAAGAAGAACAGGATGAGGAACATCAGGATGAGGAACACCAAGATGAAGACCCCCAAGCGGAAAGAACATCCAAGTGAAGACCAGGACAAGAACCACCAGAATGAGGAACACCAAGACAAGAGTCACCAAGACAAGGAGCCGTGACAGAGACAACCAGGACAGAGACCATCAAGATGAAGAACAAGATGAAGAAGACCAGGATGAGGAACATCAACATGAGGAACACCAGGATGGAGACCACCACGATGGAGAACATCAGGATGGAGGCCCCCAAGAGGAAGAACAGGATGAAGACCAGGATGAGGAACACCAAGATGAAGACCCCCAGGATGGAGACATCCAAGATGAAGAAGAGGATGAGGAACACCAGGATGGAGAACGTCAGGATGGAGACCACCGAGTCCAAGACCCCCAGGACGGAGACCCCCCAGGATAAGGAAGACCAGAATGGAGAACACCAAGACAAAGAACAGGATGAAGAACATCAGGATGAGGAACACCAAGACGAAGACCCCCAGGACGGAGAAGGCCAGGATGGAGACCCCCAAGACAAAGAACAGGATGAAGAACATCAGGATGAGGAACACCAAGACGAAGACCCCCAGGACGGAGAAGGCCAGGATGGAGACCCCCAAGACAAAGAACAGGATGAAGAACATCAGGATGAGGAACACCAAGACGAAGACCCCCAGGACGGAGAAGGCCAGGATGGAGACCCCCAAGACAAAGAACAGGATGAAGAACATCAGGATGAGGAACACCAAGACGAAGACCCCCAGGACGGAGAAGGCCAGGATGGAGACCCCCAAGACAAAGAACAGGATGAAGAACATCAGGATGAGGAACAGCAAGACAAAGACCACCAAGGATGGAGACCCCCAGGATGAAAAACAGGATGAAAACCACCAGGACAGAGACCACCAAGATGAAGAAGACCAGGATGAAGAACAGCAAGATGAAGAACACCAGGATGAAGACCACCAGGATGGAGACTCCCAGGATGAGGAAGACCAGAATGGAGAACACCAAGACGAAGAACAGGATGAGGAACACCAGGATGGAGACCACCAAGACAAAGACCACCAGGATGGAGAACAGGATGAAGAACATCAGGATGAGGAACAGGAAGACGAAGACCCCCAGGATGGAGACATCCAAGACGAAGAACAGGATGAGGAACACCAGGATGGAGACCACCAGGATGGGGAACAGCAAGACGAAGAAGAGGATGAGAACCATCAGGATAGAAAACGTTAGTATGGAGACCACCAGGATGAAGAACATCAGGATGAGGAACACGAAGACGAAGACCCCTAGGATGGAGAACGTCAGGATGGAGAACGGGATGAGGAACATCAGGATGAGGAACACCGAGATGAAGACCCCCAGGATGATGAGGAACATCAAGATGAAGAAGAGGATGAAGAACACCAGGATGAAGAACATCAAGATGAGGAAGACCAAGATGAAGACCACCAGGATGGAGAACAGGATGAGAAACACCAGGATGGGGAACACCAAGACAAAGACCCCCAGGATGGAGAACATCAGGATGGAGAACAGGATGAGGAACACCAGGATGAGGAACGTCAGGATGAGGAACACCGAGATGAAGACCCCCAGGATGGAGACCACCAAGATGAAGAACAGGATGAAGACCACCAGGACGAGGAACATCAGGATGAGGAACACCAGGATGAGGAAGACTGAGTCGAAGACCACCAAGAATGACGACCCCCAGGATGAAGAACAG